TGTTCCCTGCAAGCTTTCCATACAGCTTTGGAGACGAGAGTGAAAATGGCGGCCTCTCAATCTCCATACTGGAGGAGCCGAGGACTCAGGGCCCCACTCCTCAGCGCGCCCCCAGAGAAAAGCAGTCAATCACTCCCGTCTCCCTGGTCTTCAGCTGCACTCCATGCTCACCCGGCCTGTGACTGAGCATTTCTATCTCTGGCACACGACCCCGTGTGGAGTCTCAAAACAACAGATCCCTATGGTGCACTGCCGGGCTGCTCCTCCCCGGGGAGGAAGAGGAGTCTCCCCGGATCTGCTGCTTGTTGGGTCCCTGTTGGAGGAGCAGTGGCCCAACTGTGCCGCGGATCACGGTTTATGGCAACCCCGAGCTGAGAGCCCCCGCCTCGGCTCCGTCTCTGCAGCCGGCTTTCCTTTTCCGATACCTGGGAGCTCTGCCGCACTCAGGCACCCCAGGTCTTTCTGTGACCCTGAGGGTCCTGAGACCACACTGTCCCACGAGGTTTCCACCCCCCACTTAGCCACTGGAGCGACATCCCTCAGCAGAGCGGACTTCTAAAAGTTCCGATTTTGTGCCCCGCTGTTCTATCACTTGCCGGTCGTGGCTGACGGAGGCCCTCTCCCCCGCCATCTGTCTTCCCGAATATCGCCTTGGATTCACTTCTCCACACGTCCTACCTTCTAGAAAGTGGTCGCTTTTCTGTTCAGAGAGTTGTTGCTATTCTCTTCTTCAATCTCCTTTGAGTTCATAGGTGTTCAGAATGTTTTGATCCCTATCCAGCTGAATTCCTGAGAGGAGACGAAATCCAGGTCTCCTACTCCTCCGCCATCTTGCTCCCATCTTGTCCCTCCCAAACATACTTGTTCTTGGTTGAGCATTGGAGTTTGTGTCTTTCAAGGAATTTTTATATTTAAGTGGTCAGATTTGCAATCATATGCTTGCTCATGACGTTTCCTTATTATCTTTTTAATGTCTACAAAATCAAAAGTCATTTCCCCCTCTATTGCTATTTTGTATTTTCTGTCTTTTTTACTGGCTAGACAGTTATGAATTTTATTAGTCTCTGAAAAAAATATTTTGGTTTTATTAAATTCCTGTATTGTTTTTGGTTTTAAGGTAAATTTGCTTCTTTTCTTTATTATATTCTTTCTTTTGTGAGGGAAGACAACTGGGAAGTAGCTACATCAGTGATCCAGTGAGGAGATATGAAGGCTTTATATAAGATAATGGAAAGGTAGGATCAGATTTGGGAAATTAAGGAAATAAATCTATTTGACTAACTGCCTTGAATGGAGTGTTAAGAAAGAATGTAGAGACCATGAAGATGCTGTATTTATGGGGGCACCATTAATTGAGATAATAAATTCAAGAGAAAGTATCTAAGGAAGTACCTAGGAAAAAAAAGAAGTAGATAGTGAATTATATTTGGGTATGTAGAGATTTGGCTATCTGTGACTTCCATGAATTATAAGCATTAGGCAATTGTGTACTTAGATGTGAAAGTCCTTTTGATTGGCATCCAGTAAATGTACAATGTAGGGGGGAGGTTTACTATATATACTTGAAAGTAAGAAATATGTCTTTTTAAATATTCATAAAATATGACTCTTGATTTATTTAAATTACTGTGATTCTACATCACTTTGTTTTTGTAATGCTCACCAAAATGTAAGCCAAAATATGTTCTGGCGAAATGGCGATCCTGTGTGTTTGTATTTTATTATTTGTCTGTAATTTCTTTTAGCTTCCTTCAAAAGTATACATGTAGTGAAGGTTCAGTTTTTCTCTGTATTAAGAGTATATATCAGGACCCAATGTGCTGAGTAGACCAGTTTTCAAAGATCTACTTGATTTACAGAGATGAAGTATGCTGCTTTTATTTTCTCAAGGCTGTGGAGTGAACCAAAACATTATTTCCAAATCATTTAAAAAAATAGAATATTTTATTTGCTGCAGTGAGGAGATTGGGTTTAAGCTACTTTAAGCAGGGACTTGCATCTTGTTCTTTCTGTTTGGGAACTAATGCTGTCAAAGTATTAAAGCTGTTGATTTATTTGTTTGCACTGTGGCTTCCATTTGCAACAACATGGATGAACCTTGTGGGTATTATACTAAATGAAATAAGGCAGACTAAGGAAAACAAATACCACTCAATTCCACTCATAAGTAGAATCTAAAAAAAAAAAGAAACGAAAAGCAGAATCAGATTTATAAATACAGAGAACAACTGATGTTTGCTGAAGAGGAGGGGGTTGGGGGAATAGGCAAAATGGCTGAAGGGAGTGGAAGTATAAGATTCTAGTTTCAGAATGAGTGAGTCATGGGAATAAAAGGCACAGTACAGAGAATAGAGTCAATAATATTGTAATAGCATTGTCTGGTGACAGATGGCAGCTACACTTGTGGTGAGCAGAGCGTAACCTATAGAGATATTCAATCACTGTGTTGTACACTTGAAACGATTGTAACATTGTGTGTCAACTATATTCAAAAAATTTTTAATTTTTTTAATTTTTTTTTTTTT